TACAATCATTCGTTTACTTCACTACATTGCAATTTTTAGGATGTTTAATGCTCCTTAAAGCGAAACTATGCCTTCAAAGTAGAGTGGGAGCATGAAAAGCACTGAATTTCAGTGCAGCTGAAATATGAAGTCTGTGCTCACACAAAATTATACACACTTACTTTCCAACATAATTCTTTTCATCATAAATCCTCCTTGCACATTGGTAGATAGCAATTACTGGCCTTTGGATACCTTTACCTACAAGATTGTTCAATATTGACATAAACATTACAGGGAGATACCATGAGAGAGAGGTTAATAACTTTAAATTTAAAAAATACTCATTTTGAAACCAGAGAAATTCCACTATTACATCAACATCTATTTAATGACATTTATTCTTGATAGTGTACACATGTGTATGGCTGTATCTTCAATAATTTTTTATTGACTCATTTTTTAATCGACTTCCTTAGTGTTGCCATCTTGACCGCTTATTACACTCCTTAATTTTTAGTATTTAATAGCTCTTATTGTATGACAAGTTGTAGTATTAGTTTTTAGTTTTAGCATTGGTGTTGGTATATAGTATTGGAATATTAGTATTAGCATATTAAGTTGTTTTAATTAGTAGAAATAGTGCTCATTCTAGATTGCTTATGAATGATTATTTGACTGTATATTTAAGTTACACACGGCTCGATGGAAGAGCATATTTTAAATGAAATTGATACCGTGTATAAATAAAGTTTATGTATGTATGTATATGTATAGCTCTGTCTGCAATTATCCATCTAGAGTGTAGATTCTCACTCAGCAGGAATGAACTGACATGAAACCTGTACAAGTGTTGAACCAATATTATTACTGTGAATCACAAATGTTCGTGTTTTTAAGGGAACAACAAAGATGCACTTTGCTTACCAAGCTCTTTGTAAAATTGAGTTTCGCGGACAAAGCGAGTCCAATAAGACATTTCATCTGAATCCAAGTGACGTGAAGCAAAGAGGAGCTTGGTAGGATCTGAGATATCATGACACTGGAAAACAAATGCAGAATTTTCATTTCTATATCAAAGTTTAAGGTAAACATTTATCTTAAAGTCAGGGTACCCAACTTCTAGAATAACAATGTAATACTAGTTGAAAGCACTATCTTAAGTTTGCTCTTCATCCTCCTTTCTAACAGCTATGAAATCCTCCCATCAAGAAGAAACATTGAACATTCTGTTTTCATAAACACAATGTTCAATGTTCAATTATTTAACCCTCTATCTGCCCATGTCTGATTTATCTTGTAATTCTCTCCTCTTTCTGCCACACAATTCCTTCTACATGTACACTACATATACACTGTACCTGTACCACCATTACATCACCATAACATTTTCCATTTGATAAGTTTGTCTATTCACATCATCTACATCATTCTATAACATAACCAAAGAACGTGCTCTGATTGGTCAATTCAGTGTCCACCATTTGCCCACGGGTGTGCACTGCTAATGTGAGTAAATGTAAAAGACCAGTTTTTGCATGCTTGTTTTCTCTGGTCAAGCAAGATTTGTTTGGCTACAATGTATCAATGTTATGTTATAAAATAAATGGTAAACACTGCAGCGTACACTATTGAGTTATGGATGCACTTGGGAGGTTTGCTAAGCACTCAAGAAGCCAGAGTCACTCTCGGCTATTGCCTCACATGGCTCTTATGCTTCTTTTGTGCTAGCAACTCCCATGTGCATCCATAACTCCATTGTGTAGTGGTGGACACTGAATTTACCAATCAGAGTGCATGCCTTACTTTGGTTATGTTATACAGACATGTTTGGATAAGAAAGTAATCTTCTAATGTCAATCATGATACAAATAACAATTATACTATGATTATCATAGCAACGGATGAAATAACACAATTTACCTTCTAATGTTGATATAATCTATCAGAAAAGATATAATCAGTGCACAAGTGTTAACAGGACATACTACACTATCCAGTGCATAGCATTATCCACCCTTAGAACAATCAGAGTCAAGTATTCAATCAATATATTTTGCTATCGTACCTCCAGAAATTGAGCCATATTATGTCTTAACAACTTCAACTCCTGACTGGACCATTTTCCTTTTCTAAAGGTTATTCCTATCAACATTCAGATTAAAAAAAAATAGTTAAATTGAGAATTTTCTCCCAAAACCTTACTGAACTCAATAAGAGATCAATTTGGGGTATGATTACAAGATACATAGCCAAATTTTCATTTGAGTGTGAAAAATAATCCTGGATTGTATTAGTTTTGCTTACTTTGTTCTGTGATTGGTTCAGAAAACTCTCTCAGCCAATCAGAAGCAAAAGTAAAACCAATCAATTTCTTCTGATTGGTTGTTGCAATTACAGTTGACCCTTTTCCACAATGGATATGTTGTAGTTCAATTTTATACTTGGTTCAAATTTTACTTTCCTTTGTTTCAAACTCATTATCATACTGTAAGAAATAGACAACTTTTTTGAGAGACATGTTTCGGCATGCTTATGCCATCTTCAATCAATGAGTAACAGAATGCGAGTAATTAAATAACAGACAAGTAGATGAATAAAATATTTACAGTATGATGTAATACAAAAGTGGGTACTAATTACATGACACCAAACATCAAAGGTGTGAACTAAAACCTAAAATGCTAGAAAAGTGTTATAATGCTGTAATTGTTTGTTAAGTTCAGGTTTGATNGTGAAAACTACCTAAATAAAATGATTGAGAAATTGCAACATACCAAATTTATTCATCCATAAGCCGAGCGATTTTTTTATAAAACCACCAAAATCTCGAAAATTTAAGCTAGAGAAGGGTTCTCGGCTTATAGCCGAGTGTTTTTCCAAACATAATTTATCCGAAACAGCAAATTCAAAGGAAACATAGATATAATCATCTATAAGTTGAGATATTGCATGCAGAAATAAATAACAAAACAAGTTGAAGTTGGTCATTGAGTTTATTTATATGGTGGCTTCCAAAGGAGCAGTTTGTTTTCGGCGCGTAGTATATACGGTTAACTGTTCGTCCTCAGTGTCGGCGTCGAATTCGTCGTCCATCTCCTCCTCATCTGCTAGTTCTGCTGTTTCATCTTCCGTGCCGTCTAGAGTGTTAGACATTCTGCAGGTTTTGAACGAGTGTGTAGATCTTGCGAAAGTGTTTTGATAATTTCAAAACTGACCAATCTGAATTGCCCATTTCCACGATTGGTAAACAAACTTGTTGCATATTATGTTGTTGAAATTTGTGATCACGTAAAAAGAACTTACGTTGCCTTCACTGCTCTGTAAACCACTCAAGTAATCCCTCATTCAGCCGGGGATATTTCGGAGTGTAGCCGCCCATTGTTGTGCATTTCCCTGATAACTCGAGCTCTCCATTAAAGAGGTTCTCTTGATCTTTCCTCCAGCAGCGGACCATAGACTAACCCGATGACGTACTTTCCGGTTATCTCGCAATTGTTTTTGATGGCAATACTGCATTGAAACACTTTTCTGTTTCGAAACTTTTGTGTTCATTTCCCTTTGTTCGAGAATAGAATTCTCTGGACATGGTCTTGGCTTATAGCCAAGTATTTTCAATTTACATGTTTTAAGAACCTTCCCAATATATTGAAACAGACCGAAGCTTAAGGTCTTGGTTTAAAGCCAAGTTCAGCTTATAGACGAATAAATACGGTACTTTACTTTTCATAATTCTACCAAGGAAATGAATATGCTGGTCAGACTTGCTAAGTATCTAAACTTTCGATGTTATTTCGTGAGTGAAGTAGCCGGTGATTTTTGTCAGAGTAGCTGGTAATAATCGCCGGCTGCCAGCTACTAATGACAGCCCTGCATCTATATGCTTGAACCATCAACTTATAAATAAAAGGTACGTTAGTCAACCAGTGTTTTATGTACCTTACGAGAGAGGACCACCTGACCCTTTCAAAACAGTTCTGTAGTGCGAAGTTTTAATTTTATTTTCCTACACAATTGATTATAAAGCTCCATGATTGTAGAGCACTCCCCGACTCGAGGATAAAGCTTTTACGTTTATATATGTATAACAATATATCTACATACATACGTTGCTTAGTAACTTGTAAGAGTACTCTTGGAGATAAACAGTTGTATTATACATGTACCACAACTGCAGTAATGTAAATGCAATAAAAGGAAAAGGATACTTACCTTCTTCCCTTAATTTAGTTCTTCGTTTTTTAGAAATATTCAATGTTTTTTGAATTTCATCAGAATCCTTTATAGCTTCCACTACCTTTGCCTTATCAATGTTAAGCTCAACAGCCATCCTCTCTATAACTCTAGTTTTGTGATCATGACCATTTACAACACTCTCATGCACAGTTCTGTTCTCAGACATATCCTCTTTCCTTTTGTCTCTCTTCCTCTTTTTGTGATTAGGTTGTTGACATACCTCTCCAGGGCTGTCTGTGGAAAGAGCATTTGATTGGGAAGACTCTCCTTCAGAACTTACATCCTGTTTTGAGCTTTCTGCTTTGCGTTTGTTTGTATTTGTACCCTCGGAAAATTCTGACTGGTGGCCTATTCTTAATTTCTTCTTCTTTTTCCTCTTCTCTGTATCTGAAACAATCTCTGAGTCGCTATGCTTCTTACGTTTTTTGACTGTACCCTCTGAAAATCCTGAGGTGTGCCCTCTTCTTAATTTCTTTTTCTTTTTTCTTCTTCTCTTTCCACTTCTTCGTTTCTGTGCCTGAGTTTCGCAGCTATTATCACCATTTGTGTTGGCTACTTCGTCACCAACGCTTATATGCCTTTTCTTTGCTTTCTTCGCTTTCCCGTTGATTTCATTTTGATTATATCTTAGCTGTTCACTATATTCAAGGGTTGCAGCCTCAATGAAAGTCGTCAAATGGTGCACAGTTTCCAATTCCTCTGTTTTCCTCATTTCCCGCCGCTCCTTTTCTCCTTTCCGCTTATGTTTAGGATGCTTCCGCGATCCTCCATCGCTAACCGAATGTTCACCATTCTGGACTTGTTCGCTGTGGAGCAGGTTCAGTTGTTCGACCTTTCCTGCAGCCTCGTGTCCGCCTCTGCTTGTTTGTAACCCTTTTAACGCCTTCTGATAGTAACGCAACATCCTCTTGTATAAAAACTACCGTTAATTTGAGGTCTAGAACACAAACTCAAACAGTCGCGCTAACATCCGCCATGTTCGAAACATTTGCCCGCTGACCAAAAACCAATCAGTCACGGGCGCGGCTCTGAAGCCCAGACTCTCTCGGAAGTCTTGGATACTTTTGAAAAAAAACCAGGACTGGACGTCGGTCGACACTCCGATCAAAATCTTAATGTCGCACAAAAGTTAGGACATTTTCTAATTGATTTTTCGCGTAGATTTAAACCAGTAAACAGATTTTCAGAAAATATAACCAACAAAGTAAACCAACTTCGTCGCTTTTACGTTTATCTAGCACAAAACAATATCCTGTACGGAACAGAAGCTTTTGCGGCCAAGAACTCTGGGTCATAAGCTTCTGGTAAGAATCAATAGAAAAGCGTTGAGGCGAGAGGAGCAACCGCGGGAGAGAGGAGGGGAGAGGAGGGGAGGAGAGGGAGGGAGAATTGAATACTTTGCGCATAAGCTACTCCGTATTGTGACAAATTTTCCGTTAGAACAAAACTTTTCAAAGGAAGTAAATGTTGTCTTTATTCTTCCGTAGTGAATAACAGAAGTAATTATAGTAAACTCGATATTTTCCCAATAAAATGTCCATAGATAAAAGAGGTAGAATCGTTTTCAAATCGGACTTGTACAGTTTTTATATATTAGACGACAGTTTACATTTAAACACACAGCAACCCATACCGATATGTTAAAGATGACTAACTCATCTCGCAAGTGTTCTTTTACTCAGAAGAAAAAAACCATTATCATCGCTCGTAAGTAACAATTTAATACCTTGGGCTTCTAGAGCCTTTTATCGGTTTTTAAACTCTAAACTTCATCAACCTCGTTCCCAGGGCCTCTCATCTTACCGCCCACTGGAGGCGCTCCTAGGGGCGGGAAGTGAGACCCTGAGAACGTTAAGTTTGTCGTATATTTTGGTATATTTACCATTCTTTGAACATATTTTTCCATCCATTCTATATATCTAACTCTATTTTATACATTATTTTATAGATATCCCTCTCAAGATTTGGCCCGCGAAGCGAGCGCAGATAGAAGTCAGAACACGAAATATTTTTGGACAATTTCATTAATAGACACGAGTGGAAAAATGGCAAATGTTCCTCACTCGCCCGTATTCGCCTTGAGTCGTGGGAAGCTATCTCGGTCCGCCTGTCACATTGGCTTTGAAAATAATATTCAAAACGAGAAAAAAGGCGAGAGTCCAAACCCAGTCATATATTTTAAATAATGCCGACCTACAAAAGCGGGTAATGTACAGGTTAGAAGAAAGCTGAAAGTTCCTCTTTCCATTCCGGCATCTCTGAATTATTCAGCTGATTTCTTCCATGCCCGCGGCTTGTTGGCGTGGAACTTCTCCGTAGTCTGGCTTGACGATTGTTGTGTGGATTAAGTCTGACATGAGACAAAGACTCTAACAAACGAGCATTTGCGTTCCGAAGATTGTCAATTTCTAACTTCTGTGAGTGCAGTTTCTTCTCCAATTTTAGTCTATCGTCCTTTGCGGGCTGCGATTTTAACGAATCTATTTTCTTTCGCAGCGATTCGATTTGCCTGTCTTTTGTGGTGACTTCGTTGTACAACGACTCGATTGTGGCTTCTCTAGCCTCAAGAAGTGCCTTGATCTCCGCTTGCTCCTTTCGAAAATCGCCCTCCAGTAGGAGAAGTTTGGATATAATGTCATTCATCTCTCGATCATTATCTTTCTTCCGCTGTTCAAGCTCCTGTTCTTTCTCTTGTAAAGCATAAGTCAAGTCCAGCGTTCTTGCCCTTTGTATCTTCAATTCTGTCCTGACTTGAAATATTTCCTTGTGAAGTCGCTTGATTTCTTCCTTTAGAATATTTACATTGGTCTCAAGCTAAAATCAAGAGAAGGGAAGTAAGATGAGTATTGCGAGTAAGATTTCGGGAGGCTCAGTACTTGCTGAGGGAAGAGGAAGGTGCTTTAGAATGTTTACGATAAGACTTGGTCCATCCTAAGTAACCAAAACGTGTTGTAAACAATGCACTGTAGGGTCGCATTTAAGTGGGGTCGCAATGATAACAAACTTTGTTAACGTTCCTCCCGTTAGTTAACTACTCTTATGGCCCCAAACAATCTATTAAACAACCCTTTCGTAACTTAAATTTGATCGAAATAAAACGAATTCGGCTAAAGGTGATCCGGAAAGGTTTGGAGCAACCTCAACCCCTACTCCCATGAGTGACCAAGACGGAATTTCTCCTTACAATATCAATACAAAACCAAACACACTAGTAAAGAGAATAAAGAAATAAATCCATTGAGAGATCATCAGTTGATCCAATACCAAATTCTCAGGACTAGCATCATAAGGGCTGTATGGCAGACAGTAAGGAGAATTACTGATTAGATCTTGGTAGTGAAAGGGTCAACTCAATAGTAAACGTAAAGCTAAACCTTTAAGCAAAATCACTCAATTTCGAGGCGACGAGACAAGGGACGACAGAGTGATAAGGCCTTTGACCAGCATTCTTCTTGCAAGCGAGAGTCTCGTCTGAGATTGTTTATTCAGCGATCTGAGGTCCGACATTGAAACCGCAGGGTAGGAGCCCTCCGACGACTAAGAAGCTTTATACCCAACAGAATATCGCAATGAACAAACCGGAAATGGAAACAATGTTGTAACAGTCAACACGGCGACAAGAAGGTTAGGTCTTCCAGTCGTCTATAAAAAACACTTACCATGTATCATGTGATTATTGCGTGGCCACATATCTAATGTCTGTATTTTCAAGAGCAATTTCTATTTTAAAATTTATAATGAAAGAACAGAAGAAAAGCGAGAAGCGACGACATCTTTAATTTCAAAACTGGAAACGTTTGTGGCAGAACGCGGATCGACATAATTAATGCATAAAACTCTGCATAGTGAAACAAAGAAGTAAATCCTCGTACCATAGCGGTGAAAGAACGGAAACAATAAAACGATAGAGTTGATCAATTGTAACAGAGACGGCAAACAAATACTAAAGCACACTTTCTCTTTGAGACCTGTTCACTTTTGTGTGGTTAGATAACCTTGTGTGGTGTTAGTGTGTGGTCTTGAAGTGTTGTTTTTCTTTAGAGTGTATTTGATAAACATGCAAGCTGTTCCCGAAACAGCTGCCTGTCGAGGTCGAGTTACAAATACAAAATAGGCTACAACGAATCAAAAGGACCAGAATTGCTTTTTTGGAAAGAAAACCTCCTTCGCAAACTTAATTGAAACGCTCACCTTTGATAAAAATATTTCAATAGACATTTGTTTAGACGGTAAATCGAATTTAGCGGTCCCTCGACGACGTGTGTCTTAAAAAAACCATCAGTTTGTAATACATATTTCGCCATGATATCAGGGTCGTTCGGTGACGTAAATCTTCCAAGCCACAAAAATCTGTTACACAGTGATCAAGTAAGCAAACCTTAGGTTGCCGCACTTCTTTTTCATTACTAAAGCAATTCCTATTCTAATGTATTGTTTGCGATCGCTTCACTACTCAATGATCGGTTCAAGTCCCGTCAAAGGTCGACATTCTTAAATATAATTGAGTAAATGGACTTATCTCCGGTCTTTTCTAGACACCACTACGGCCACTTACCTGGTTCCTATTCAATTTAGGGCTCTTAGAGCTCATTTCAGTGAGTTTGTGGGCTTATCCAGCAAGATGTTGAAGCTTGAAAGGCAGCGAGAAGTGCCTGTGTACGTGATTTTCCTTCTTGAGTAGAGGAAGCCGCTACATTCGCGTCCTCTGAAGTTTCTACAAAAAATATGCCAGCAATGTGAAATTAAATTCCGTAATACGTGAATAATCCAGCCGTAGTTAATCATTTACAAACCCGATGTGCCCCTAAGGATTTTGCTATACCACAACAGAACAGGATCAAAAACTATCACACTTAGAGAGAACAACGTCGCAATAACTGAAAGGTTTCCTTACAATGTAGGTAAATTAAGAGCCTTGTATTATGAGTCGTTCAACACAAAATCACGTCGCATGTTTATAATACGCTGCTTGGCTGAGTGGCTGGGTGCACACTCGAACTTTTCATCAGACGCGCTCAATCCGGAAACACTCTCAAACACATTTAAGAGTTTGTCAGTTGACATAATTTAGAGTAAACATGGCGCATTTGTATAACATTTGCATGACAAATAGGCTTTCCGTCAGAACAGAACAGATCGAAGAGAAGGCTACTGCACCCTGCTAGCAGAGACCATGCTGAGGAGTAACGACTGTTCCATTAAAGCTAACTAACCTATCTTTCCTTTAGAATGAAGGTTGAAAGCCTCGAAGCAAACAGAGCATCCTGGTCCCGCTTCCTAAACTCGGCAATAACCGGCTAGTCCTAACTTGCCATAATGCAGCTTGCATGTTATTTATGCACAGGGAGCCCAGACAAGCGACGAGTCTGGTTGTTTATTCGAAATATAAAGGAGTGTATGGGAGAATATTGAAGAGTCTTATTATCGTAAACTTATATCATGAAATGTCTGAGTTAAAGCTCAAAATAAATGTAAACCTACCTCACTTGCTGTGTATTGTCGTTTCTGTGGCTCTAAATGGCGAATTTGAGCGATTTGGTGGGTTTTGCGTCGACTGTTAATCAAATTCTCCATTTAGAGCCACAGAAACGACAATACACAGCAAGTGAGGTAGGTTTACATTTACTTGGAGCTTTAACTCAGACATTTCATGAGATAAGTTTACGATAATAAGACTCCTCAATATTCTCCCATAGATTCCTTTATATTTCGAATAAACAACCAGACTCGTCGCTTCTCTGAGCTCCCTGTGGTTTATGGAAACAATTCCTGCGTGACCTCAACACCACTGACGGTCCCCACATGGGTTCGTGGACTGTCATGGTCGTTTGGGTACATACTAGACGTCAAATTGATTCCTACCTTATCTGAATTTATGTTTTTTTCTGAGTAGATAATTATTTTGTTGAGTTTCGAAAGCGTCTCATTTTTAAGAAGAGGTTATGTCAGAATCGCGCGCCAGAGCAGCGTGATACGAGTAAGCATAAACGGAACAAATGCAACCGATCAACTTGGAGTTGAAATTGACCCAAAATAGTGTAAAAATTGGAAACTATTTCAGCTCCTTCCATTGGTAGCGGGAGGCTTGTTTTCCAAGGCCGATTTAAACCCCCAAGGAACGAGAAACAAAACAATTTGTCGGCAGCAGTGCTATAAATGTTTGAAGTTAACCGCACTGAAGAAAGCTTTTCAATAACAACCTTAATCAAGCTAAGTGTTTCTGCTGCGCCACTATTCTTTGAATAATCCTTGGCTTAGCGCCGGGTCACACTCCAGTTCTTGCTTTGTGTAACAATCACTGAAGCGCAATGAGATCACGCGTCACATGTTTGTCAAACGCATCACATGTTTTGCCAACAACTTGTTGTTTTTTGGTCATCTTGAGGAAAAAACGTCTCTTCCCTCTTGACAAGTTCTCTCTCTCTTTAACCCCACTTTTACGACGAATATTGCAGTCTAACCGAAATAGCCAGCAAGTTCGAAACGATGTTGAATGACCTATTGAATTTCGCTCCTCTTACCAGTGTATTGTATATATAACGGTACATTTATCTTCATACTTTTTTCATAGTTTTTACTCTGTTAGTTTGGAAACCTGTCAGGCTAACTGTATAACCCTGCCGCAATTACTCTTGAGTACGAGTTAAGTATGATATAAATGAGGTCTGAACGATGCGACGACATGAATTGCCTTTGTCGTAGAATGTGTCGGGTGTTTGCGTGAGCAGAGATTTAAATTGTATTGTAATTCTAGACGTTGGAAATATGGTTGTTTTATCTCTTAATTCCAAATCGGCTCATAAAGGATAATTTTCTTGCGATCCACTTTTTCTTTACGAGAATTCAGCTGACATCTTCGATAAGGTCTTCACACATATCAGTGATCGGTGACATGCTTCAATATTTGTCAATCTAATTTTGTTTTCCACTCAGTTCAATACACAACCTAAGTGTTATTAATTTTGACAGCGTTAGTCCACTTTTGTGCGATCTCGCCAACTTAAACTACATAACTTTACGATTGTTCTTACCTTTCAAACACAGTCTTACGGTTAACTCATGGGACGGCAACTGGGTAAAGACGCGAGCTGATGTTTTGTGAGAAGGTTCGATTAAACCTCAAGGCCCTCGCCAGGCGCAGGGAAAGGTTACGATGACGTCTGTTTTTATTTAACCGAAAGTCAGCCCGGACGCGAGTGATCCAATATAAGCGGTTTATTTTGTATCCTTGATTACCTTTCCTTTTCCTTTGGCCCTACCCCTCAGGTAAAGTAGCACGTACGCTTCAGCTTTTTAAGTACATTTTATTGATTTCCTGTGCGGGATGGCTCAAGGATCGCATACGCTCAACCTTTTTAAGTACATTTTATTGATTTCATAAGTAGGATGGCTCACTTAGGCTTATGAACACCTGGGAGAAAGTCCGATCGACCTGGAACGAGGTTGACTTTGAATGGCTGCTTGGATCGGGAAGACTAAACCTTTTCGGATTAGTTGGTATTATCCAAATTAAAAGTGCTAAATTTAAACTCACTTTTTAAAAGTTATACGGTGGGTCAATTGTTCTTCCACGCAGGTGTATTCTTTCACTTCCTGTCGCGCTGAAAAAATGAATGCCACTTCAAAGGTAGATTTTTTAAGTACTGCTTACGAGCTGTGCCAACAGATTTTTTAAGGACTGTTTACAAGCTAAGCCAATACCTCCCCTGTTTCTATTTACTCTGAAATAAAAGCTAGCGTTTAGAAGTCACGGCGACGTTTCGACCTCTCTGAGGTCATTTTCAAGTGAGTAAGTTTTCCAAATCAGCATAAATATGTTGGAGCAAGTTGAAGACGATAAAATGTGGCGAACGCTAAAATATGTGAAAAAGTGTAAACAATATACAATGGAAGAGAAAAAAAGAATAAAAGAATTCTCTAGAATTCTAAAGAATAAAAGAATTCTGTTTCTATTTAGCAGTCATAATGAACTCTATAAGGTCGGCCGTTGCGACGTCTGCAACCGTGCTGTAGTTAAATTGTTTTCTGATAAAAAAAAAAAAGAAAGAAAAAAAAAAACATATATCAGGATGCATATTCTCTACACTGGTTTCTGTACATTTACTTTTTAACAATCAAGAGACTATTTGATTTGCGATCATTTCCTTTATTCTTAGGACCTCACTGTTTGATTCAGCACAACCTCGTTCCCAGGGCCTTTTCCCTTGGGAACGAGGTTGGATTCAGCAGTGGTACGGTAAGGAGGAATAAGATGTTGGTCACTCGCAGAGATGAAAAGAGTAAATATACTACAATATAGACCACGCGTGACCTGAGGATGATTTGACAGTGGCAAGTTCTTTAGTTGTGTTTCGATGGACATAACGTAAGAAAAATAACAAGACCAATAATCAGCCGCTTTGAACAAACAAGTTTGAAAAATTATTGCTTTATTGTATTGCTGGATATGGATGAATCCACAAAAATTGTCATGCTTTTCTTTGCGCTCACTGTTATGTCAAAGCATGTGTTTGTCAATTCAGTGTGCTGTTCTCAACACTGCTGCCAAACGTTTTCACCAGTAACATCAACAAGAAAAAGATACCTTGCAGGGGCGTAGCTAGGATTTTTCAAAGGGGGGGGGGGGGTTCACAGAGGCTACTCACCAGATTGTCATGTCGACCTCCACGCCGTGCATGTTTTACTTAATGTAACAGTTTTGGGATGAGCAGTGAGAGTATAGTGGGCAGGCCAAGATACTGTCATGGCGTTTTAACCAGCTGAATATAGTAGGTTCTTTGCTCAAGAGAAGGCCAACCAAGGTGGGGTCACGAGCACCCCAAGACCCCCCCTGGCTACGCCCTTACTTGATTTTACGAATTAGGTAAGTGGGCTTCAAGCAGTTTCTTCCCTTTTTGGGATCAACGCGAGTGATCTCGGGTGTGCGGGATGGTACCATACGTCTTGCCCAGGTAGCCAATCACAGTGCAGCCTCTTTTTTCCCCCGAACGAGTCTGTAAGTTCTAAGTGCGACATTTCTTCTCGCTGTCTTTTTTTTCTCTTTGCGTGTTTGGAGTCCATTTAGTTAAGTTTTTTCACTCTGTAATTAAACTCATTGTTTCATCAGCGCTTTTCTGTCATTCCGTTGCCGCCTTATGTCGCTCTGTGCTGCTTGCATAATTTATCATGTAATCTAATTGTTTTCTCGTTTTCGCTAAGCGCAGTTTAGTAATTTTTCTGTGGCCGTAACAATGTAAGTATTTTGTAGTCCTCTTTCCGTCTTGTTGTTCGTTATTTTCTTTAGTTACAACCAACGTCAGTTAAACAGTATTAAAGAATATCATGTCGACATGAAAGATGCGGAGTTGTCAATTCCCGGCCACAGATTTCACATAAGTGCAGTTTCAGAGTGTCTGAGAACAAAACAGATGCAAGAACCTGAAAGCAGAAGTTTATGAAGAAGATAGTATAATGACTGCAGACATTTGTTGGCCACATATTCAGTGTTTCCGAGGGTTTAAAATTCAGACTTCTTGCGTAAGACCTTACACCTTTGAGTCGCGTCAGAAGATGTGTAGTGTTAGTTTGTCTCCGCCTATGTATGAAAGACGTTTGGTGGTACCTCACTACATTAAAAGCTTTAATCAAAGCCACCAAAAGCCTAAAGCAAAGGAGATGACTTAGTCCGATAATGGCCGGTGAGTTGAGTAAGCGCTTTATTCGATGAATACGTAGGTTTTCTGAAAAAGCCGACATGCGGCCACCACAAAGAAACCCTTAAAGAGCAAGGACCCATCTTGTTTTTTAAAAACACGTCGAATAAAAAATTTAATTCTTAATCCACAGTTTGTATCCCGAGGCGCCGGTTATTCTCCTTGTTCGTAGGTGTGACCAGTGTTTTAAGCCCCAGTCCTCATTTTGCACAAAGTATTCGTTCTGGGATTGTAGTCCGCAGTCCGAAGTCTGTTGTCTGTCTGTTGTCTGTAGTGCTGTTCGAAGTCCCATCCATAAAATGCGCTTCATATTTCCTACTAACTGAGCCAAGAACACAATCAATTATTAAAACCTACGCACATTTTAATCTTTAAGAAGCTTTCACGACCTTTTTCCCGCTCGGGGCTATACACCTGCCTTAAACGGTCTTGACGATTATAGAATTGGATTTCAAAACATCACGTGATCGCGATCATCATCAAACATTTTGCCATAAAATATATACACTTCAATGGTAAATTGCTAGAGATCATTTTAGAAAGTTAACAAACGTCAAAAATGGCTACGTTTTGTCGTCTAACTAACGTGAAATTAAAAAAAGGAGCCGATTAGAATGTGTAAGGATAAAAATGTCATGGATGTTTTTTAAAACAAAGAGCCTCGCATAGAACGTTAGGGACCTTAAGCAGTCAGGACGGCAACGGCGAAGAAAACGTCGATTAAAAGAAAAACTTAATTTTTTAAACAGAATTTCGTTCATGTCTGGATGTGTTTGCTGTCTCTTGCGGTGCCACACCTCAACTTCTTCATCACATATGTGAGTGGGGTTAAGTTTCAAATTTAAACTTCGATAATTTGCCGTCGGTGGCTTCATTCCCGGAGAGCGTAAATTTTGGCAATTTCACGTTGTTGTTTGGCAGAAGAGGGCTAACAAATGTACAAAGTTGTAAAATACACGTGCTGAGCAATTTTTCTGCCAATTAGATCTTTTGTTTAGCCACGTCTTAGTTGTCGTTGCCGACGTGGTTTAGTTAAGGTCCCTACTATTAATCAACCTTAGTCTGCTAGTGTTGATGCAGGCGAATCGTGCTCATTCGAAGAACATCCCTTAAACGGGGCATTTAGAATTTCCTTAGCACTTAAATTCAATAGTGGCGTTCGTCCAACTAACGTAAAAATCAACTAAAAAATGAGAGCTTCTTAGGATGTGTAAGTACTTAGGTAAAACGGTATTCAATAAAAAAAGTTTTCAGTAAGTACGAATAAAAGCTTCATGAATGTTCTTTCAAACAAAGAGTCTCGTACAGAACATCATTCAGTGTTGAATGGAGAATTGCGCATTTTCAAAGAGCATCTTTTAGACGGGGCCTTTAGACTTTCATTGGCACCTAAATTGGCGTTCGTCCAACTAACGTGCCAGTCGACTCAAAAATAAGAGCTCGTTATAATATGTGAGTGCTTAGGTAAAACGGTATTTAATAAATACCTAAATTCAAAAATGGTGTTCAGTTAAGTGATTTAAATGCTCGATATGTTACTTTGTATTCATGATTCTTGTACTACTCTTATTTCAAAATGTCAATGTTTATTAGCGCTTTGTGTTTAACTTATAAGTTTTTTTAGCGTGATTCACTGCAGTATTATATCGCAATATTTTTTTCGCCAAATGTAAAATAATATCAACACAAAAGATCTTTATTTAATGAGCCTCCTGCAAGACTGCAAAAAAAAAAAAATTGTAAAAAAATTGCTTAATAGAAGATAACAGACTCCCCGCTGTTTTCTTAGTCACAGCTTCATCAAGTCCGACGGGAAACATTTTGATTAAGAACTTTACTCAGGAACCGAAAACTATATTAATTTTACAGGAGAAGAGCTTATTAAACGATTGTTTAACAGAAAAAACAGAATGCAGTCATTTCATTATAACTGAGCATACGGCATACGACGAATAATGATCAGTCTAAAGCTTTCGGTATTCAGACAGTATCATAGTGTCATTCTACACAATACTTTTTTTTAAAATTGATGTAATGGATGTGGGGAGCCAAAATTGCTCAGCGACCGGAGAGTTAACTATTTCTGCTGATCAATCTTAATTAATTTGCAATGTTGTTTAGTGATGATAATTTTCCAGCGTGTTTCTACTTTTAACATCTCTTCCACTGAGGCTCAAATGCAAAATGAACAATGTCAGTCTACCAGTCTGTTTAACATATTAAATGATCTCAAGTTTAAAAGCGTTTTTCTCCCAGCCTTTAAATATAATTTTTTTTTCTCGCGCCTTGCTCAGTCTTTCTTTTTTTTCACTCAAAATGGTGTATCAGATTGAGTTGAAACCCTCGTCATATGAGTTTCCCTTAACCTTGTTGTCTTGGCGAGGGAAGAAGAACTGCTTTGTCTCCTCTTCTTTGGGTGTGCCTGGAAACAGTGGGGTAGCAACGACTTCACCTCTGTTCGAAACTCTCTACTGACAGCACAGTATATCAGAGGATCTGCCGCAGAGTTTGTGAACGTCGATATAGCCACGATCGAGATAAGAATTTTGTGGAAGCTCACATAAACGAAGTCTGGCCAATAGACTCCCACGAGGTCGAACACATTTAAGGGTAGCATGGTCAAAGCAAACAGTACCACCAACGGCCTAAGGATTTGTTGCGTTTTCTTGGTCTGATGTAAGATGGCTTTCGAGTTTACCATCGAGGACGATTCTCTCACTCCCGAGAGCTTTGTTGTCTCGTCTTGAAATTTCCTTGTTCTTCTGGACACCATGTTGCCGATCCTTCGGTAGCAGAAAGCTATGATGCTTAGTGGCAGGAGGTAATGCAGTATGAAGTTCATCGTGACAACTGTACGGTGAGAGGTCGTCGTCAGTGTATTGATGCAAAACTGAAAACTAGAATAGTACTCTACATGGACGAGAAGTGGTATGCTGCGTGTAGCGAAGGATACCAGCCATACAGCGTTAATGATCAACCGAGATCGCTTCAATGACCTTCTTCCTCCAATTCTTATTTCTTTCCAGGCGATGTTTGCGTAGCGTTCGACCGCAATAATTGTGATGGACCACACGGATGCTCCATAGAAAGCTTCCAAGCAGGGTGTGACGTACAAACAAACAAATCTCCCGAGTACCCATTTAAAAGGAAATTGAGCTCGAAGGATGGTTAAAGGTAAAATAAACATCAAGACACCTAGATCTGCGAGTGCTAGGCTTAAAAGATAATGGCTCATGGCAGAAAACACTTTTGGTCTTCTGATTATGGCAGCGCAAGAGATAGCATTTCCAATGGAGCCAAATAAACCGATTAAGATTTGAAGGCTCAATTCGAAGATTGTGAACCCAAGAGGTAACTGAAGGTAAATTCCGTCATCCACCTCGTCTGTCGTGTTATTTGCCATTTTCGATATGAGCTTTTCTCCAGGTTAAGCTGTTCCGAGGTTTCTTCGAGGCGACCACCACCGCAAAGCTACTGAGATCAAGAGAAACTTCCCCGATGGCTTTTCAGTGTCTTTTAACATTGGTATAAACAGACGGTAATATAAGACTCACTTCATTAAATATTCATTGGAAAAAGGTCCTCACGGATGATGAAAACAATGTCGTGACTTATGCGAAAATTATTTGAATAAAACATTTCAATTGCAAATCAAACCTTTTAAGCCGAATCTTCCATTCAACTATTTAACTCATATTAATGGCTCTGTTTAGTTAGACGTTTAAACTTGACTCATTTAAAATCCTCCAAATTTCGAAGGCTGAATTTCTTCATTAGATATAAGTGAGCATAAACATCCTCTAGAATTGAACTGAACGATTCCGGATGTTAAGATGAATTGACAGTTTTTGTTTTAGGCACAAATAGCATATAATGTTCGATATATCTCACTGCGACAGGCAAGTGAAGAGAAATCGAAGTTTGAATAAATAATTTACTTTTAATATGACTCGACGAGACTCTTGTAGATCGCCACACATGAAGATGTACCTACTACAATACAATACGATAATGAATCACAATGGATGAAAAGACCTGAAAAGCTCAGTTAGGCGCGTTTGCCTGATTAGAAATGTGACGCTGAAGGCATCTTTGATTATATCAAACAGAATAATTTGCCACAAAATTGGCTTTCTTTTAAGTGACCTACGATGTCGTCATTAAAACTTCATCACCTGGTAGACAAATGTAAAGAAATATTCAAGGCACGTCGTTATTTTTTTCTTCTGGATTTAGCAGCGTTGGAGGAAATCTTTTAGACGCAAAGGTCTGGAAATTTTAAGCTTTTGAATTGGCGGTAAACTTCAGAAAGAAAATAAACGTAATCTAAACTCAAATCGTAAATCAGGATTGAATGATTTAGCGCTGATAATAAAACTAGCAATTTAGCAGTTCCGTTCTGGCTGCATTTTGTTTTTACTTTAAGTGGCCAATTTAGACTGGCAACCATCCGTCGTTTCCTACCATTCTTAAAAAATTGCCGCCAATATTTCGCAGCTTAAGAGAATTTCTTGGACAGATTTGTGCAGTTGTAAAAACCACTAATATCAATAAATTGCCTTCGAAGGTCAACTTCACTGCCTTTTAACGTTTGTTGACTATGTTCGATCTATTTTGGGGTTTGTGTTCGGAGTGATTTTAATAGTTTAATGATGCTGTTGTGAACATAAAAATATTCATTTACCAGTTTATAGAAGGTTAGAAAGAGTACGTTTGAGTCACGATCCTTCATTAAATTGTGTTCTCTCTGGGAAATAAATCAAGACAAAAAACCGATTAGTTTTAATAGTTAAAACACAACTCTACTATAACGATCAACAGGGAAGATTTTTCTAGCATTGAAATTGCTTCGGTTATAAAAATGGGAAACATTTTAATAAGAAGTCGTCTTGCATCAATCGAAAAACACTCGTTTTGGTTCTAAGTCAACCTTTTAAAAAATTTAAAAGGTTATGGAGTTTGTCTCTTAGAAAATCTCCCACAGATTGATAATTAATTCAATGTGTGCTTGCGATGCATTTTAAGTGATGTGTGTATAGCGATCAAAGGTCGTTTGGTGGAAAATATCAACCCATTCGCATAATTTTGAAAGCGTTCTACCCACTCGAAAGGATACTTTTAAGGCATCTTGATAATTCCTTTAGCCTGTCTAAGAACTCTCGCTCCTAATTAAGCTACGACAAAAAGGACTGGGCTTTGTTCAATTATAATCGAAAAAAACTACCTTTTAGCAGCACTGCCAGCTTATCATTCACTCTTTTCTTTTTACTATTCCTTTTTTCCCTCAATTTCACTGACGTCTGACTTTAGTAACTGATTCTACAAATTTGTATTAATACTTTCCTAAACAGAATCTAAATTGGAACAATTTGACGCCGACCGGTTTTGTTTCAATTTCAACTCTTTACGTCTACATTTACGCACATACGTTCGTTAAAGAACTTCCTCTGGAAACAAGAATTAAAAAAGTAAATAAAAAAGTAAATAAATAGAAAATCTTGCCTGCCACTTTTAGTCCTGAGGATTTTCTACGCTCGCAAAGCAATAAAACTCCTTCTTAGATTTGACTCTTCGCTCTCAACCTGCAGCTTTGCAATTGTAGCTCAGTAGGTATTAACCAGCAGCAAGAGATTATAATAGACACGGATTCCAGCCCCGCATGTTGACGGCTTGAAACTTTTTTTCTCTCTTACCATTATCTTGAATAAATACCAAACCTCTTATATAATTATGCTTTCACTTTTTCTTCTAGCAATCCTCTAGCGAAATTGCGAATGTCTCGATTTCTACCAAATAAGCAAAGAGTCGTAAGCAAGAGATTATCAACCGAGAGAACTTATCCCCGTGACCCATGATAAGTCTATTTTAAATTTTGCGCCACGCTAGGAAGTTATTATACTTCCAGTGACAACGCGGTTAACGATCTCTATATCACTATTATTGCTCCAGTGATCACAACGTTCACAAACTGATGTCCGTAAAAATTTATTCAACTGCTTACTTTGTTCAACGAACACCGTGAGAACTAAAATGAAAGTACAAACAAATTACAAATGAGATCGTGTAAATAATCAGATAAAAATACATTTCATGCGACTCAAAAGTTACAGGAAAAAAAGAAAAAAAATAACAATTTACAATTAACGGTACAACGATGTCGTAAGCAACTTTCACCGTTCCCTGTTCCCCGTTCCTCGTTCTCCGTTCCTCGTTCCCCGTTCCCCGTTCCCCGTTCCTCGTTCCCCGTTACCCGTTCCCCGTTCCCCGTTCCCCGTTACCCGTTACCCGTTACCAGTTTTAGTAACATCCTGAAAATTTTTACCTTGGTGCCGCTATCACTAGAACAATTAAAAAAGGTTTGAGCACGGCGGCTAAAACTTCGCTTTCAGTTGAAAGATCTTGCGTCAACTAATGACAAAAGAAAACAACGTAACCTTTATACAGCTTGCGGGCTGTCGCGGCGCTTTCGTGAGCGCTTGCGATACGCGCGTGCAACTAAATTAAAGGTCGCGCGCTGATGTTACGCGGCTGCGCGTGCAACTAAATTAATGTTCGCGCGCTGCTATATTGCGTGAGTTACAACTATGTCGTTTCAATTTCCGGAGTTCAAGTTCAAATTAGTGTTTAAAAAGTGGAGGGGGACGGGGGCGGGAGCCCAGGAGAAAAAGGGGGTGGGAGAGGGAGGAAAGCGGGAGAACAAGGGGCGGGAAGCGGTAACTACATGAGGGCAGGAACCGGGAGCAGAAATAAATACCGGGTATTACTCAGTCATAAACACTTATCTAGCAAGGTTTTGAAATTTCCAGTTAACATCTACCAAAGCTTAAAAGATTTTTGGGGGCAAGAAAACGTAAATTTGGCTAGAAAAACAGCATTACTTTCGGTAAATTTATAAATCCCTTCAAAATTGATTACGTCATTGGTCATGAGATAGCATGACATGTACAGTACAGGTAAGTTGTAGCTGTCGAAAATCTCCAACAAAGAAAGTGATTCAGGGTCATTCAGGTCAATTTTGACAAATGTCGTCAAAGACCATATTAATCGGTCTCAGTATTTTCTATTGTGGCCACGAAAAATCCGTTCATGGAAGACCTTCTTGAAGATTTTGCCGCGTGGTGCAAACTTATTTCAAAGGAATGCCGCTTCAGTGAGCGCGCCGGAGAGTGCGGAGTGGTCCACTTTTCGACGCAGAGAACCCCAGCTGAGAAGACAATCGCCTCAGTAACTTTAATAAAGAACTTCCTCCATCGCCTCCGAACGCGATTAAGTATAGAATGTCCTCATCTACTCGAAGTTGTTGATGTAAGAACATTTCTTACACTTGTTAACGAGTATTTCAATAGTGAAATGCGACAGGTGACAGACACACCTACTTTGCTGGATTGTGCGAGGAATTTCGTTGAGGCAGCAGATGAGACCTTAAAGAGAATTGCTTGGCCTGGTTATATTTGCTTCACTCGGGAGAAACAACACTATGAGCTACCATCACAGTTTTCAATCAAGTACGAAGACTTACTTCCGGTGCCATGAGAGCCAGCTACGTTCCTGAATAAAGAGGACATCAAACGCCTTAACGATTGGAGAAATGAATTTGGACGAGGGGTCAGGCAACAGTCCGTGCGAAATTCTTTCACGAAAGACAAAGCTGGCACTCTCCCCTTCTATATGTACACTTCAGTGGATGCACTGACGACAGTACCGAGGAACAAGCTCTTACTTCAATACAGGAGCTCTTTAAGGCTGTGAGTTTTGAAAAGGAGCAGATACACCAGTGCATCCATCAGGTACTAACTATAGAAGCGATGTAGATCCCTTACCCTTGCCTGGGTATGATCACAGGATCTAGACGTATCAGTCATCACATACTGGAGTCTACACAATCAAATGCAAATCCAGCTTTTTCTCTATCTTCTTTTCGCGCGCGGTAGACGCAAATGATTTCTTTGGTACTACATATGTCATAACAGATGAAAGCTGTTTTCTCTTCCAAACATCTAGCGAAGAAGCAAAATGCAAGAAAAGTGACGTTATTTGTGGAATTGGTGAAGATTCGATACGATTAATCAACGGTCGCTTAGAGCTAACTGAAGAAAGATTTTGCCAGATCCTTTCAGACAGCCGAGGAGCATGTGATTTTGAAACAAATGAAACTGAAGAAAATCAAGAATGTTATCCTGACTCGCAGGAAGAAGAGGCTCTAACCAAAATTTGGAGTAGGAAGAGGTCAGTGCGGCCTCCCCGGTGCATGAAAGACTTTTTCTAACCGCAAAGGTTAAAAGACTATTTCAACCCATCGAACAAATCTAATAATCGGTCGAACAAGACTGTTCAATCATGCTTCACTAGCAATTAAACTGAACGCTCAAAATGCAAACGGTTCAACAATTGATGTACTAACTACGAATACTTAGTCCTACTAACGTCAAAAAGGGAAAACAATACAGAAGAAGCAAACTCTAAACCTTACGTCTACCTCTTGATTTTTTCATTTAATTTTGAATTGGCAATAGCTATTACATCATAATTTTCCTGATAAAGAATATAACGAGGCGCTAGCGTGCACTGGGCTTATCTCGTTGCATGAACGGCAAGAGAATATTGCCAACAAGCTCTTTTCTAACGTTCTTGTACCAGGTCACAGGCTGCATAAGCTCCTGCCGCCCAGGAATGTATCTAGAGTGGACTTAAGGAAAAAGCGCGCTTTTAATTTACCTGTGGTCCGTACGAACAGGTGCCGTGATAGTTTTATCTTTCATCATTCACGCACGCTTTGTATAAGCTGTCGTTATTGTATGTTACCTAATTTTTAATATTTTAAAAGTATGTTACCATTTCTTATATATTTCTTAATATTGTAAATGAATGCGTAATTCAACCTTTGGCTGCAATGTTTTTCAAACAAACTATCTATCTATCTATCACATAGTGAGCTGAGACTTTCGTCTCTCAGTGACGAGATGTCAGAAGCGACGATCAAACTGTGATAACCCGGTTAGTGAAACTCAGTTTAGTAAGAAAACTGACCAGTAGTAGCTTTCATCGGGAACTGATGATCCCCAGCCAAAACAAAAGCCAGCTGAAATGAACAAGAATATTAACTTTTAGCTCTGGTTGAAAGTTAAACCCGGGTTTCTGATCCTCTTGATTAACCTGAAGACGGGAGCAACACAATGGAGGGCGGGAGTCGGGAGGCAAGGGGGCACACAAGTACGGGAGGCAGGGGAGCGTGGCACTGGAAGCGGGAGACTCCGACTCCCCTTCCCCCCCACACCCCACTAGAAACTGTAACTGCTCATTATCGAAACAAATTTATAAATGTTTAGCCTACCATTCTAATACTTATTTTATTGAGTTATAAGGACATAGATGTATGAGACAAGAAAATATTGGGCTTGACTGTACTTTTCTAGCTTAACATCTACTATTGATTTATTTTTTTTAAAACGGCAGAGACTCATATAAACAAGTCATCTACCAAACTCTCTACCAATTCTTATAGTTCACCACTAAATTTTCTCCGATTCTTATTGGTTTAAATTGATCACGTGACGCGATAGTGTTCATCCATGGAGAGACACTATCAGCCCATAATGCCCACCGCGGAGAATACCCGGATGGGTAGTGCCCGTCCGTGGAAAATACCCGGATGGATAGTACTCATCCGTGAAAAATTTTGAATGGTTTGACGGCCGTGAAGTTAGGCAGATCGGAAAAACAGTGACTTTTCAATTCTGACAGGTATAGCGTATTATTTAGGCAATGTACGGTTGCGAATTATTGACATTTGTAACAGGCTGTAACCATGAATAAATATTTGATTGATCTGCATTTAGTGGGTTTTGAATGTTTTTCAACCAGCACGCGGAAGAAAATTTAGTGGTGAACAATAATACAATAGAGTGTTTATGTCACGGAACTATCGGTCTGATAGTTGCCCCTTGGAAATTTGATGTTCTTAAAACTAGCATATTTGTTTTAAGAACATCAAATTTCCGCGGAGCATTCAAACTATCAGCCGATAGTTCCTCGAGAGAAACACTCTATTGTTTAAATAGGAGTATAATAAGCCATAAAGCTGTTCGTAGAACTGATACGCATGGAAGCAATGTACTAAAAAAAAAACAACCTATGTTAAAATGTTTTCATTTCATTTTGCTTTTTTCAGTATTTGATTTTCACATTTTAATTCTTTGCAATTCGCCAACAGACTTGGGGCTTGACGAGCACCTTTTCAAAAGAGGAATTTATTCTTTGGAAGACGTACGCAGAAAAATTATATCTACGAGCTTGATTACACTTCCTCAAAAGATTTCAGCACTATACACACTGCTGTACTTGACCAAGAAGATTGATGAACGATTTCCCTGAAAAATTTCCCTTTTATTAATCAGCCGATTAAAACATTTGGCAAGTTGTAAGCTCTGTCGCCAAAGTAAATAAAAATTTTTTACATTTTCGTAAGAAATTGAAGGAAAAAAAAACATTTGTCCCCCTTGAGAGGAGTCAAACCTCAGGCCCCCAGACTACGTACGCGTCGTCTAATGCTCTGTTTTACCGTGACCGAACAACTGAGGACTAGATTGTCAGTTTGCTATCGAACTTCTCTCTTCATACGTTTCCTTTCTGCAACTTATCTTCACTTTAAAGATAATGGAAGAGACGAAGGAAGAAGTAAGAACAGCGCCCACAACCAATGGCGAAATGGAACTTTGCGTCGCTGTTCGTTTAGTCAATACTGAAATTTACTTCTAATACTGAAAACAAGTAGTCAAGATATTTGATAAATCATAGCTGATAGCAACAAAACTCTAATCGTTCATCTACAATCTATGTGTAAACCAGCTATGCAGTTTCCAAAATTATTTTAGTAACGATACCAAGTCAACCAATAAAATGGTTTGAACCTGGTGGAACATCCGGGATCGTGTAGTCTGATCCTCCGGTTGAGGATGGTCTTGAGAAGGAATGTTGTCGGAAGAAGTCATTGACAACAGGAGCGGAAGTCATCATCACAGTCAGTTGAAGCGTTGTAATCTGATTGGTCAATTTAGCCGTGATATTATGAGCTATAAGACCCAAATAGGATAACGATACTCAGTTATCACTGACTGCATCACCGACATGGAGAATCACATGCGGTTGAGAAACAGTGATTTAATTTCATACATTATCTGCCGAAATTCATGTAGTGGTAGAAAATTCGTTTCGAAATTGCACTTACAGATTTAACACCGGTTTGGTATGCCCTTTCATGCCATAGGTAAAGAGATTTTGATCGATCGATCTAAATTATCTTAATACGCGTTAAACAAAAGAATATCAACTGTTTATCTCTTGGCATTAAAGCAAACCACGCATGTTATATTGTAAAATTACTTGTATACACTCGATCGCAAAAAACGTCGACACCTAAAAAGTATTAGCAATGAACAATGACACCCACTGAACGGCTTTAGGGGCACACAGGTACTGATGATAATTGCCCGTGGTAAATAATTGACAACCTAGTTCCCAGGGTCTCTCATCTTCCCGCCTCCTGGAGCGAGAGAGAGGGTGGAAAGATGAGAGACCCTGGGAACGAGTTTGAATTATTGAAACCATCCACGCTTTCCTAAAAGAAAGTAATTATTATAAACGAAGGTTTTTTTTTTCATGAAAATTGGGAAATTAAAGCACTGATTACATGACTGTGCGAATATTTTCCATCAAGCCACTGGGTCCCATTTTTCTTAGGTGTCTTCATTTTTTAAATCGAGTAGGTAAAACTGTGGAGTGGATGACTACTGAACAGTTCATTCACAATTTCATTAATCGAGAGAACGCGGTTAAACACCATGAGGTCGCTGAGGAACGCGACAATGGTATTTCCACTGTCTCTCTTCAAGCCAACGTCGTAAACTGTATGCCCGGAATTCTTAAGATCCAAACTTGTTTCAACGGAGATATTGGCAGTCTTGTTCCTCAAAGACACTCCGTTGATGTAGAGGCTACCAGTGCGCTGAACGCGACTCCACGTGAATGCAATGTGACTCCATACATCTGCAGGGACAGTTTTACTGAAGAAAAAAAATCCACGACCATTCAGCGAAAAAAGAGGCAAAACAAACATAAACGATGATAAGTTTTAGCATGTTCAATACTTCATCTGGTTAAGTCCGACGGCACTTGTATTTTTTACGTGGCTACAGTCAGCAACAAAATTGTTGCCACATTGACCTTTCCCACCTCTTAATGTTTCAAAATTTTCTCTTATACCCTTACTAAGTTACCAATTCGCCCCCTTCCCCCAAATGTTGTATCGTCATTCTCCAAGCTTTTCCCACCCACAGGCAACATTGAATGGGGGGAGGGGGAGGTGGGTCTTGACAACGATTTAGAGTGTGGTTGTTCTACACGTAAAGAGGACTCTTCAAACATGATTTGTCAACTAATTTTGACGCTGGAAGTAGGTTTTCGATGGTGTAAGTTCTCAGCCGTTATATATACGAGGCCATACCTAAAAGGGGTGCAGAAGTTGACAAGACCTGGTTCAACAGAAGAATCACGCCTCACATCAACACATAATCGGTTATCCGTCATTATGTCAAACCGGAACTGATGAGGGCTTGACCAATCACCGTAAATCATTTGGCGACTGGATGGAGACGGAGGTCGTTTGATCCAGGCGGCAATAGTGAAGTCAGTCTGCCGGAAAGGTAACGCTGGTGTCTCAGCAAATGTGCCCGCTGTGCCGTCAAGGAACAGCACAGTTCGACCATCTTGCTCTGTAAATCTCGCTGCTCCTTTCAAACTAAATAGAATATGACAAAATGAAAAGAAAAACTGTGCGTGCGTTCCTCTTAGTTCAAGAACGAATTACCGTAATCATTTGGTTTTAATCGGGAGTGTTTCAAGGAAGAACTTGCAGCGACAAATTTTTGCACAACAACAACGCATCACCTTTGCGTGGCATGTGACGCAACATCGGTCAATATATATGTTGTGTAGGAGGATCTCTGGCACAGAGTCAACTTTCAGCATTTTACCATCCGGCCCAATTTTGTGCGTTCAGCCCAAGTACCCAGAGATGGCGGTGGACGAGTTTAAGTTTCTGAACGCAGGACAGATATAGACGACATGGTGGTTGTGTCAAAAGTTACATGTTGCACTCAGGGGTACAAGTAAAATCAGGAATAGAAATTATTTTCAGATAGAAAAAACAGACATACGTGAGCAATTGGTCCGGACCATTGAATGTCCAATGAAAAGGAAAGCCTACAACATAGAAACACAACTTTAAACATACTGAAACATTCAGAGCTATATTTGGAAAAGAGGTGGGGTAAAAAAACACAAAACTACCGGAATTCCGGCCACGAAAAGTATTCGGCGCATCTTAACGATAACGATGTCGGCCAAATTGGGAGGAGGGACACATTTTGAAAGTCGCATAACTGAAAGGGGAGTTGTCAAGAGAAAGTAGACAAAATGTAACGAAAAATCAAAAGCAACCGCTCCCTACATTTCCTGATGCAAGTGTAGTTGAAGCTCAGACGACCTCAGCCAAAGGCGTGCGTTTTTTCAAGGGAGGAGATGTGCATGAGGATGCACGTGATGCGCATGCACGTATTCGTCATGAGGTCACGATTGCTTGTGTTGTAAAATTGATGTTTTTCCCTACCGTGGCACGTTGTCCCATCTGACACCTTGTCTGGAGGACAAATGCAGGTGAAACTACCAATGGTGTTTTGACATGTGGCACTCACATGACAGTTGTGTTGTCCCTGTGAGCATTCATCTACGTCTACATTGTTTTTAAAATGGAATGTTAGACACGCAATAATGATTGACACTGCATCGTTACAAAAACGGACTTTGGTTCAAATGATGGGCACTGCATGAAAGCCGATCCCTAGATATTTCTATGGTCAGCCAACATTAGTCACTTTAAAGTTGAGATTTATCAGAAAGATAAGTTATTTATTATTAAAACATATTCTGTAGGCCCTTTAGAACTTGTGTTCTAAAGCTTGTTTCATATCGTGTTTACCTTCATCGCATCTTTCCCCTTGGAATCCAGGATTCGAACAAAAACAGGAGTGACCTGCTTCATCAACGAAACAAATCTTTTCTTCCGGGCACTGAGGTTCGCAAAAATCCTATTTGGCAAAAGTATGGAAACGGTGTAGGATTAATTATGAGTGACACAGCAGGATACAGCATGTCATGGCAGGAAACAAGACGACACACGACGCAGCACTACACGACACGTCACGAAGACACGAACTCACACGAGATCACATGACACCACACATCACGACACGACACGACACGGCAAGACAAGAGAATCATTGTAAGAGAAGTCTCAAGAAAACACAGCATAAATTTTCAAGATCCGTTATCCTCCTGGAATTGTCTTATATGTAAAAAGCTGTCCTTCTTACCGTTGAAGGATGATAGGTAAAACCTGGGCGGAACACAAGATGATTCGCATGAAATATGTGGAGAGAGCTGCTCAGCTGGCACACTCGTTTGCCATGTTCAAACAGTGGACCGAGGTTGTAGGATTTGCAGTCAGACCGTAAATAACAATGAATTTGACACTGATCGTCTCTGTCTACAGTTAAGTTATTGGTGATGTTTTTGTTGAAGACACTGTCAGAATAAATGTTACTGAACTTAAGGATCCGGCAACGATCTGAAAGTAATAAATGTAACTTCTGTTGGTTAAAAATATCCACCATCGTATGGAAGAGGGAGGTTACTTGCCGGAACAAAGGAGAAGTAAGAAAAGTGAATGCTTACAATCATAGAAGTGGCCGGCGTTATTTTTGCATACGATCCTGAATAAAATCCACTTTTAAAGCGGTAGAGAGAAATTTATCCCACTGAGTTACAGCAGGGTAGCCAGGAAAAAAAAAAGACTTCGACTGAATGCCGAATTGAAGCTGTGTTTTAAAGGTTGGCGAGGTAAAGAAAAATGAAAGCAACTTCCAAATGAAACAATTTCAGAGCTAAGCCCAAAATAAAAGCATACTTTCGGCAGAATGAGCGAAATTAAGAACCATTCGTTCGCAACGTAGAAGAAGACGAAGAATGATCACATTGGCAACGCGAAAGAAACAGAATGCAAATTATAGTGACAGGTTCACAGTCATCGCTGAACCCTCATGGTGGATTTGTAGATGGAATTGAGTGCGGCCAACATAAAGGGAAAAAAATAAAAACAAGTCAATAAGTGCTTTTTTTGCTTGTTTTTCATAATTATTTTTAATAAAAGCTGTTAGGCTCGTAAATGATTGCTGTTGTTCGCTACACCATATTTTCACGCTGACTTTGTATGAAGTGTTGTTAATTGAAATTGGAAATCAGTACAGAGAAATTATGCGGTGTGAACTTATGATTTACTTCTAACCTCATAATTTTCTGGGTTGTAGTCTAAACTAAAAACAACTGTGGAAAGCTGGGTAGAAAAGCATGCTGATAAAAGTCATTATAGCTGCGTATGTATTTTATGTTCGGGGATAAATGTTAAAAAAGTACTCATCAAATATTCCGTATAAACAACAAACACTGTGTCAGACTTGGTATTTTTGGAAGATACTGGCATAGATATCTCATCTTACCTAATGAAAAAACCAAATGGAGGAATGCTGTCATGAACCATACATGAAATTTCATCTCCACAAGGCTTAAGTATTCACCATAACCTTGAGTTGATCCAGTTCCAATACAATTCTAATGCAGGTGATTCCTTATACTACGCCTTTCAAAGGCTATAGTATAGATTTCTTTGTCAAAGATACTTATCTGCAGCAAGGGAAAACTTCTGACGGACTTTTTCACGGCTTCTACGGTTGAACTCGTCGAGAAAACGCGAAACGGCAAAATATAGCTGGACTCTTACAGACGGCTTTGTACGTTGGTAAAACAGCTTTGTGAAGAACGCTGTTACCTGCAGAGTGTGTGAGTAAATTGCGAGAAAGTAAACAATGGTTGCTAACCTTAAAAATGGATCAAAGAATACAACGTAAACACCGCTTTGTGATAAATCAATCTAAACTCGATAATGCTCTTCTGGAACCGTTCCCTTCAAAAGAAAAAATTATAAAATTTTGAAGATGTTGATGTGCTTGCTACAAACACACCAACGTAATATTCAAATGCCTACCGGACATCCCTTGTTTTCCAATATAAGGATAAAAATTTACATAACATGATAAGGAAGCATTAAGAAGAAATTAAAGGATTTGCTTCCTTAATGAGATTCATTATTACGGGTATCGTATGTTTTCAATCATTTTATCCCTACAGCTCATATAAAATCATCTAAAAAGCTGTGCGTTCCATTAAAATCCATGAAAATAGTCTATCGGTGTTTCTATTATTAAGCATCCTCTCAGTCGTAAAAAAATAGCCATCCTTCGCAATTATGTGAGAACTGTAAAAACAATACTCGTTAATAAGCCTTTTCACTCTGTAATATAGTACTCTCAAATTTAGTCTAGACAGATCTACAAGACACACACTGCAAAAGCTCCAGTTATCTCAAGCATCCTAGAATAGATGCGATCTGTTATGAAGATTGCATAAACTGTGCCGATCGATGTTATATTCTTTTTAGGTAAATGAGGGGCCGAAAACGCTGGTGTAGAAAATCTCTTTTGTTTTATATGTGAAACTACAATTTTCCTCCTCCTCTCCCCTTTGGTTCTATTTATTATTCACGCACAGCGCGCGTGATTTAAAAAATTAGCCAATCACGCCAAACACCTCGTACCTTTACACTGAAAACTGTGGACATTTTCGCGTACTTTTGTTGTTTGTTTTACGTAGCTGTTTTAAGTTGTTTTTTGAGCTTTGTTTCACGCAAAATTTGTTACCCCTTTGTTTGGAAAATTAAATAAGTTTCGAAGTTTTTAATTATGTCAGATATTTTGGTTAATTTGAAAAAGTTCAATATATATTTTCTACGAAGTTTGGTCTCTATCTTCTTTTTTCGTAAAATGATTTTTTTACAGTTGATTTATGGCTGAAATAACCAATGAAATATCTCGTAAGATCAATTTTAAATTGGGTTTCGAAAGTAACCCGGGATTGGTTTAGTCTTGGTCTGGTCTGCTTCCTTACTCGGAACTGGTCAGCTCAGACGGCCACCACAAACCGTATAATATCAATGCAAGCTTTAATAATTCTGCGATCTAAAAGAAATACATTAATAATACGAACTCAGAGTAATGTAAATAAAGTCTTAATCTCGTAGCAAAATTCAGAAAACGTGATTGGAAACTTACTTCTTTGGCGGGTCGTAAAAACAGTCTCACTCTAAAGGTTAGCAGATTCAGTTGAGCGAACGGACTATGTAAACTACGGTGGCCCATTAGGGACAGCGCTACAAACTTAAAAAAAAAACCCAAAGTACAAAAATATACTACTGCAAACTAAATCAAATATACTACGAATAAAATTAAACCATTAACGTCAGTGAAAAATCAAATGCACTTCTACACAATAAAGTGAAACGCAACACACCGAATTAAAAAAAGTTAACCGCACACTGCAAATGAAAGCACAACGCACACCCCAAATCAAGGGAAAAAAAAAACTCACCGCAAACAAAAGGCTAAGGCACGCCGCAAATGAAAGGGACTTAATCTATGCGTGCGCATTTGCGCGTCAAGGCCTGAGACCGAGTCGCAAGCGCGCTTTTGTCAAATCAAAACAAAATGGCGTCCATCGAAGACTTGAGCATCTCGAGCGAATACGAAACGGCTGACACAACTTTAAACGACGACTTACCTCGTGGGTCTGAGCGAGATGTAATTGAATATTACTTTTACACTTTTACAGAGGTCTTACGTATAGGTATATTACTCTGATGTTGGAAAAGCAACATAATATTTTTATGAATCAGCGAACTCTCAAGCGAAGGCTGAAAGATTATGGACTTAAGAGATGTGAAACAGTAGCTGAGGAGCTCAAGGAACGCGTCAGGGATCTCATTTTACAAGAAATATGCACTGGTCCTGATAGCCTCAATGGCTACAGGACTATGTGGCATGTCTTACGCTTAAGACACCGGATTAATGTTCCTCGGCGATTAGTAGAGTCACTCTTAAGAGAGGTTAATCCTTGAGGAGTGGAACACAGAAAGAGCCGTTGTCTTTAGCGCAGAACGTAAGTGTCACCTGGACCCAACTTTTGCTGGCACATGGACGGTTACGATAAACTGAAGCCTTATGGCTTTTCTATTCACGGCTGTGTAGACGGCTTTAGTCGTAGAATTCTTTGGATTGAGGTGCAACGATCGAACAAAAATCCAAGGTGTGTTGCAAGCTATTTTATAAAGCACGTCAAAGCAACACATGGATGCCCAGTGCGTGTATACACTGACCTGGCACTGAAAATGGTCTGGTTGCCGGAATACAGTGCTATCTGAGAGCTGAGGGATTGGATGAATACACAGGATCAAAGTCCCACAAATACGTATCAAGCACTAAGAATCAGCGTATTGAATGTCAATGGTCACATTACAGGAAACAACGTTTAAGTTGGTGGATCGACTTCTTTAATGACCTTCACGATTCTGACATTCTTGATCTGACCAGTGACTCGCACAAAGAGGAAATTTGGTTTTGTTTTGCTGATTTGCTGCAGACTGATCTGGATAAGGTAAAGGAATACTGGAACAGTCACCGGATCAGGAAGTCAAAGCATGCCATTGTATCCGGTGTTCCTGACATGATGTACTTCCTGCCAGAGGATTTTGGACACACCGACTGCTTGGTTTCAATATCGCCACACAAGTTCACAGAAATGGAAAAGAGGTTTGAAGGGTTCGATGTTGAGGATGATGAGTGCAACCCAGTTTTCCATGAGTATTTTCTACGAGTTGTGCCGTATTTTGAC